TATACCTGAAACGATCTTACATCTGATCAGTACTTGGAAGCTTGATTGATCCCAGACTTGATCAACTCTAGACCTCGATCAAAGCTAAGCCAAAAATGAACTCACCCGATCAAAGACAGAAAAGAGATCTCGGACCATAATCTTTCACTAAAAGAATAGTCATTATTGTAATAATATCAGTCTAAATAAATAAAATACGAATTACATATAATCAAAGTGTATAGTAAGGAGGACAAAACCGCAGAAAAATCCTCTATTTTTTATGGTACATAAGAAAGAAAATAAAATGTAAATATATGGGAAAAAACAAATAAATATAGCCCAATAGTTAGAAATAATTAGAATCTACAGCCGAAGCCTAAACTTGCAGCTACTACTTTGAATTCTGATGGCGTTGTTAGCAGATAAAGCATCCACCACTAGCCCGCACCTAACCGAGAACTTCAGTTTCATAAGCTTCAACTTCCCGAGCTTAACCCTCACAGGCTGTTTGACCCTCAGTCTCAAAGGAATGTTTCCTGTCTGCTGCTGCTGTTCTTGCAGCGTCGTGAGCAAGCCAGTACCGTTCTGGATTTGTCCTGACAAAGGCAAAAGCAGCACCGTCGTGTTCCGGTGACCCTGGTAGAATTTTGGCATTGACCCTTCACATAGTTTTGTTTCTGTGTACCATACATTTATACGGCTGCCTCCCTCGTAATAAATTCCGATCCTCTTGTTGGGATTCCTCGCAGTAATACTAACATCGAAGGTAGCCGATAAGCTAGAATCGACAGAACTAAGATCGAATTGGGTTATCTGCAACCTGTCAATAGAATACTTCGGTAGCTTCGGTTGGAAAACAAGGAACAAAATGCCAACGATAATCCCCAGAATAACGATTAGCAGCAAGAATAGAGACAGCGTCCAACACAGGCACCTGCAGAAACAGCTTCTCTTCTTGGGAGGTTTCGGGTGCATAGCAGGCAAAGTGCGTTGGAAAGGTGGGTATTCCTCTACAGGCTTACCCCTGTCGGATTTCAACGTGCCCTCAGGCACCAAGGGAGCGGTCGGGGAGGTTTGTGGCGGTGCTTCAACATCAGGGACGGGATGGATTTTCTGTTGCTCCGCCATTGATGAATCCAATTCAAGAGTCAAGAGATCACAAACTAAAACCTCGAGAAATCCAAGACAGTTTATTGCAACCTGTCTACCTGTTTTGGTGTTCTAGATTGAAGTTGAAATACATTGATATAGAGACAGCAAGGGGGGATTGATTAAGTCATACGACAGAAGCTTCCCTTATTTGACTTTATGTTCTACCCTATCGAGTCTAGTGTTTCTTCCAAATATTCACCTAATCAACCGCATTCAGACCGGCTCCAGCTCTTCGACATTTCATGCTTTGATAATCATTTTGCCACCTTGCTTTGCATGCGTAAGATTTTGGGTTGAAAAATGGAATAAAACCCAAGAAAGTCACAAAATATTTCTCAACGGTTCAAGGGGAAAAAATCAAAGCCGCCTTAACAATTGAATTTTGTGTTCAGAGAAACGCGCAAACCAAGACAATAACTTAAAAGATGAAAGTCTATCGTCATTTGGTATGTAATGAGGGACAACTGGTGGAAATTGATGATATCATTGAGTTTCTCTCCCCATTTTCTCCTCAAATTCCATGTTATTGTTTAATATCAACTATGAATGGCAATGGTTATATAAATTGTTGTTTGAAATATTTTTAAAATAATTTATTATTGTTTAAATTTAATTTTAATATTTGTTTATTTTTATAAATTTAATTATTAGTGAATTGTATGGATGTAATGTAAATTGTGAAAGATAATTATTATCTTATGTAGATACTCGTTTAGGTTTTAAATAATTAGGTACTCATAAAGAGGGTGATATTTTTTTTTTTCTTTCCACAATCTGGTATTTAAAAGGGTTGAAAATAGGGTGTCTTAAAATTACCAATTAGCAAGTATCCTATTACTTTGGCCAAACAAAAAAATAATAATGTAATTATTTTGTTCGATTGTCAGTTGTTTTATCACTTACAAAAGAATTTGCACATGAGCATTTGAGTCATTATTTGGAGCACAGGGTTCAAATCCTCCAATTATATATTAAAAAAACCTTTTAAAAAATCAAATAATCAAATTATCAAATATTAATATTTATTTATTTTTTCAAAATTAACATGACAGTTCATATATAAAAGTATTCATGGAAAAGGTTAAACCAAGCTCAATTGATTTCTTTTGGGTCACCAAATCCAACAACAAATCCATTTAGATATCATTAAAACTCAACCAAAGCCAATATAAATAATTAAAACTGTGAGGACTAGCAAGAGTCAAAAGCTTAATAAACATTCATCACATGGGTCAAAAATAAAATAAATTAAAAAAATAGACTCATTTGAAGTTTAAGTTGGAAACTTGAAGGTATAACCTTAAAGCCTTAAATAATAATAATATAAACTAAGTCATTGAACTATAGCTATTTTAATTATTTATTCATCTCTTGGCGTTTGCAATTGTTGTTACTCGTTTTTGGCATCAATAACCTTAGTGTTGAAAAATTGGAATAATACTAAAAAAAATCACAAAATATTTCTCAACCCTAAATAGGAAAAATCAAAATAAGAATTGAGTCATAAAAAAGGGGCAAAATTATATTATATGTAAGGTAAAGTAGCAATCGCATTACAAGAAAACATAAAATAGAATCCTTATGGACCGTCTAATAATTTAGGATTTGATGTTTTAATTGGAAAGTTTCGAGGTTGAATATTAAAATAAACAAAGATTATATATCTTCGATTGTATAATCTAAAATCATATTCCATTCGAATCGTAACAAATTTATAATATATATTATATTTTTAAATAATTACAAAATGATTTTTTGAATATGATGTATAAAGGTTCAATTTATCATTAAAAAGGACATCGAGTTGGCTCTTAGACTAAATCAAGAGATTGGTTTCCAATACATGTTTTGGAAACTGTTGAACAATTTATAGGAAACTGTTGAACAATTCCTCTCCAGTGTCAATATTTCACTACATTCTATGCTGATTTTGTCAAGAGAGATATCTCACCTTGGGGCAACATTTTTCTGGAATGTGAATTGTTCCTTCCATGGCTGCTGGGTTTGGTGGTGTTGTATGTGTATGACATTAAGGACAGATGAATGGTTCCAATTCAATGGACTGGGTCAAGGATTGGCTTCTTTAATTAAGGAGGAGCTTTGCCTTTGGGGTTTGTTCAATATTGGAGACTAAGAAAATATTTAATGTATATAATATTGTGAAAATAGCATAATAATAGACTAGGGTACTATTGCTTTGGCCAAACAAAACAAGAAATGTTATTTTATCCTATTTTCGATTGTTTTATCACTTACAAATTGTATGGGATAAAGGATAATTATTTTATAAGTATTTTTTTTATAAAAAAAATCAAATTATCAAATATTAATATTTTTATATAATTTTTTAAAAAAATTAACATGAAAATTCATATATAAAAGCATTCATGGATCGAGGTAAACCAAGTTCAATTGAGATATCTTAAAATTAAATTAAAATTCAGCTTTAACCCATCCATTTAAATTAATATAATAATAGCTCAATGGAATCTAATCCAAGTCTAAAAAGTTTATCTACCCAAATTGGGTTGGGCTCACAGGCTGACGGGTCACCCGGCCCAACGATAAATCCATATGTAAATATGGACTAAAATGCAATCAAAGCCGAAAGAAATAATTAAAAAAGTAGGGACCATCAAGAGTGAAGCTTAACCCCTAGAAACTTTATGAACTCTCCAACAGTTCAAAACTTAAGATTTTTAATTTAAAAGTTTGGAATTTGAATATTAAAATAGAAAAAGATTATATATCTCTGATTGTATATTCCAAAATCATATTTATAAGTTATTGTGCATTTGATAATCTAATTTTTAAATGATTCTAAAATTAATTTTGAGTATGATGTATATATGAGGTTCAATTAATTATTAAAAAGATATCAAGCTGGCTTGTAGACTATAATCAAGAGATTAATTAGCAATACATGTTTTATATATATATATATATACCCACCTAATAACACCCACCTAACCCCATTACATCCCCAATATGTTCTTTTTAGCCATAGCATAAAAGGAAAAGCCAATGTTCTTTTTTTTTTTTTATTTCAAAGATTCTATCTTCTGTTTGAATCCAAAATGCTTGGAATATCGTATGCTAAAATACTAAATAAATCTTTTCTTCTTTTTTATATAAATTCTAATTTTTTTATTATAGTTTGATTCTTTTTGGTAATAATTGAAGCCAAATTAGTTGGATGAGCTGAACCCACAACAAAAACTAACAAGCCTCTCTTTCCAATCAACCTTCCCATTGGACTTCATATATAGGGAGCATCTTTGCACCCTCACTCTCACCTTGTCTGTTTTCTTCATCCAAATGGAAACAAGTAGAATTGATGAACTTCTGTATAAACATTCATATAACAGATTCAAGTAGAATTGAAGAATGTCCATATAAACATATATCCAGTCTCATCATGTTCATTGTCCTCGAAAAATAGATAGAAAATTTCCCTTGCCATATAGGCCTTAAAAGATCGGATGAAATGTGACCTCAAACAGCAAAATGTATCTTTTATTGTAAAAGCAAGAAATTTGTCTTAGCAACCCTGCTATGGATACACAAAAGCAAACTTTTAAATCAGACCTAAATGGCCAAACGCCAAAGAATAGTGTTATAATGAAATTTGAAGGTCTTTTGCCTTCTGTCTTTCACCCTACCTTTTCCTGCTGCTTTCTTCTGTTTTGTTTGCAATTTCTTAGCAATTCCAAGAAGATGATCTCTTTATCAATGGCTTCATCTGCTTGTCCTCTTCCAGAGAAATCATCCCCAAGTGAGATGGATCCTCTAGCATCATTTTTGCCACTAAATATCCAGCTATTGACCATGTCTGATACTTCCGAGCCTGTTTACCAATAAATCTCCCAAGTGTGCCATCATAATATTCTGGCCAGCTATCTTTCAGCAAACGTGTCTCAGCAAGATCAATAGCTCGTCTCGCAATTTGTGGCCTTCCCGTCTTGATGCAAGCAGCAGTTAGCAACCACAAAAGCACTGCATCCAAAATAGTGAATAATTGCAGAGCAATGAAAAAGGGAAGCTCAAGGGCATTAGAATTAACTATTACAGAAAAACTCTTCATTAAAATAAATGATCAACCAATCTATATTTGGCACAAAGTCACATGCTAGCATTCAACTACTATTTATTATACTCACATCTCTGATGTTCTAAGAAGTGACAATACAATATATATCTCTGATATTCTAGTAGTTACAACAGAGAGGACATGGATGGCGAAAAAATCCTTTACCTTATTTTTACTAAGCTTACGGAGATATGGTCTTAAATAGGGCATAATAGTGCAATATCATCATGGAGCCAATCCAAAAAGGGTGAAAAGGCCTTTTTTTCCTTTTGTTTCTTAAGTAACCGCTCTCAGGCCCATAGTACAAACAGCAGCTAAACTAAGAAAGTATATTGCTTCCCTCATTGATCTCTATCAGTGGAAGTTGCTCTTGATATGAGACATCAACCTTTATAAACTTAACCCACAGAGAGAACCAAGTCTAAATACATGTAAGAGACAACTAGTTTTATTAACTGTTACACTGATCCGCGAACCTCAAAATTGCAAGTCAAGAATGATAACAGAACCCAGGCATGCAAACTCCACAAATCTGAAAAGGTAGCTCCATCAAGTAGACAACAAATTTATCACCCTTATAAATTTGTTAAAGAGGCTTCCAATGTGTAAACATCAACTGGTGGTCCTGATAAGTACAGGATCATGAGAATCATGACTCCAATTTTATGATGTATAGCAAACAAGCGCAGGAGGAGAATTACTGTCCTGAACTCTTTTACCTAGTATTACAGGATTAAGCTACCATCCATATTCTATCTGTTACCTTTCAATACACTTTTAATCAACATTTACACGTCCATCCATGAATTGTGGAAATCATACCCATGAATGGTCATAACGGTGTACTCAAAAGTAATGGAGGGGAGCTGGACCCAGTATTACAAGGGTTCTTTACTTGCGTTTACAGCATAAAATTAACACCTCAAGTTCACAGAGTAACAACTACTTCCCAAAGTATTACGTGAAATTAGTTTCAAGTGTCAATCAGGTTGTTGCCTACCTTCAAGTAGCTAAGTTGTTGGTGATAGCTTATACTTATCAGAAGACGGCAGCAATTTGGGGACTTATCACAGTGGAATAGCTAGGTCCAACCTCTTGGTGTTACCAATATTAGCTTCAAGTTTCAGAGTATTTTGATTGTAATCTAAAAGAGTTGAAATTTATACATACAAGACCTTTTAACAAACAGCTAAAGTGTCAATCAGTTTGTTTAATCCTAGTAAGCATTTGGCGATTTGTCTTGTTTAACAAATAAGCAACTATTACAGCAACAATTACTCTGCACCAGCTTCATGTTTTTACAAGATGCCACCAATGAATTTTTAGTTAATAACAGAAATAATCAATTATTTTGTCAATAAGGCAACAATTAGTCACCCATCCAACAAACTAATTTCCTTTCTTATAAGATCAAAAGCACTAAAATGAAGATATATTATAGAAAGACATCAACATACCTGGCCAGGATCCTCCATTGTGATAACTCCATCTCGTGTTCTTAGGGTCACAACCAGTGACAATTTTCCATTCATGACTTTCTATTGCAGGATAAGCTATTTTTAAAGGCATTTCTCCAACAAGCTCATCCCAGCGGGCTTCAATAAGGTCCATTATAGCCATTGATTGCTCTGGAGTTGCAAGAGAAGATAGGATTGCTATACAGTTACCTAAACAAAACCACCGGAAATCCATCCTTGCAGGACTAACATTACCAATAAAGTAGCCACCTCGTGTTGGCATAAAATCAAATACCCAGTCTGGGATTGAATCAGGAATAACATTAAACTTATTTACTGCTGTGTGAGAATATTCTTCAGTTTTATATCTGTAAATATCATTTAGTTGTTGAAAGTCAAGCCAAAAGTAATTGCGCATGTGATAACTCAAGGCATGCAAACGCTTTACAATTCTTTCAATGCACTCTTTTCCTTCCGCATCATGCTTCAGCATTGATAAAGCACACCTCAACGCCATAAAGAAAAGTGCTTGAATTTCAATAGGATAACCATAAATACCCTATAAAACAAGTTTACACCATTAACATAAAGACAAGACTTACTTTTCAGAAAAAAAAAAAACATAAAAATAAGACTCTTTGGTCTCAAAGAGAGAGAGAGAGAGAGAGAGAGAGAGAGGAGAGAGAGAGAGGTGGTGACAAAAACATACAAACATCAATCCTTGTCACCTTTATTTGATATTAATTAGGAAAAGGAAGTTTAAAACAAAGGTGTTCACAAAGTACTAATGCAGAATGCATAAATCAGATTAACTTCTAAAATATTACATCAGCACACATCATCAAGCAAGAGGAAAATTTTGAAGAATGCAATAAGATATCTTTTTCAATACAAAATAGGGAAGAAGAAAGATAAAAAGATTGCTAGGAAAAGGAGGCATGATGCAACTACCTTAATGGAAACAATACAGAAATGCAAGCATAAAGTGACGATCAAAAGGCAAATATTATTTTTAGATACAAATCATTTCCTTGATGACTATATTACAACCCCAATCCTATATTGGGGAATATATATATATATATATATATATATATATAAAGAGAGAGGGAGAGAGCTTAAACTCATGTTTGCAAGCCGGCTTTTGTGGGTAAAACAGTGAAACCCATTGGGTCAAAACAAACAATACCTCATAGGTTGGGCCATGACCACAGAATAACATAAAGAACATGTTTTTCTCAGACATTAAAGATGAGTCTATCAACAAAAATTTCCTCCGATTAAACAGAAGGGGATAAAAAAGGACCATAACTTATAAATCACTTACAATAAAGATAAGGATCTGGTCAGCCAAGAGAACCATTTTCTTAAATGGTTATGAACTTAGAATAATAAATCAAAAAGAATCATAAGCTTATCACTATCACCACCTAAATCCACATCATTCTTGTCTACCCTATCATGTAAAAGCCTAGCAAGCAATGCCACACAAATGATCAAAATTATTTATATATGTAGTTTATTTTCCACCATTCATCCCAAGTCTACCATGGAATAGTACTAAGCTTTTGAGATCTTGCAATCAATTTTTACTTGGTATGTTAGCATCACATCCATGACAATGAAAAAGACAAACACAAACCAACTAAATCCTACCAGTTCTTAGCAATAATAGGATGTGTATATATTCAGTTCACCTTTATAGTGGACATGGAAAAGTTAAAGCAGACCATATTTTGACTTTCTTAGCCAGTTATGGTCCCATCAGATGGTAGATCATTTATATTGCAACGATCCTATGGTAAAAACTCAAGATGGAACCATATAGCTTTTCATACGAAGTTAATAGAAATTAACACGGGCCAAGAGCCCAGAACGCATTTACATTCAGCAAAGCAAGATTTGGCTCAGTCTGATTGTATCTAATAACATTCTCAAAGAACTGCTTTATGTTTACCAGACAATATTATTCCTTTATAGTCATTCAAGGCCAAAAGACCATTGACAAACAACGTAATGTTGGTTAACTATGACAGTTTCACACAAATATTCATATAATATATGATATAAAATAAATTTTGAATTCATTTGCTTCAATGACTTCCCATGACATTAGGAGACTTAATACCAGATTAAGAGTAGGTTTGTCTAAACAAACAAATAAAACTACAGCAGTTGCTCAAGAACATCACAGTAAACCACATCAATATGTTTAAAGAAGCAGCATGCTACTAAACTAAAACCAAGGCAAGGGATTTATATATGTCATGCTGCTCCATTCTCTCTGCCACTCAGCTCTAATGATAATTAAATATCTGCCACAGTTTATTTTTCCATTAATAATACATATTACATTTAATTTCCAATTTTCATAAAGTTTGCTAATTTTAATTCTCAGATGCTTTGCATGTCTCACATTAATTACAATAATTATGATATTGGTAAGGAACCTTACATATACGTGCAGGGGCAGACACACACATATGCAAAAGAGAGAGAGAAAGAGAGAGACTACAAAAGATAGCTTACCATTCTTCGATCAATCATAGAGCATCCATCAGCACAAAGTAGGGTTGGGAATGTATCAAATCCTTCTGATAGACACAGAGTAAGTATGAGCCTCATCCCTTTTTGACACTCAGGTGTCTCAGCAAGAGATAAATCCCCCGTAGATTTTGTATACGCACGGAGCAGAATTATCCACCAAAATCCAGAGTCAACTGGAGCAACTCGTCCAATGGCACTCTCTCCAAAATCTGCAATAATCGTGTCTGTTTTACGTACAGGATCATGAAGCACTTTGAAGCTAGCTGGCATTGCACCTTCCCCTAGCTTGAATCTATCTATTCTTTTCTCCCACCCTTGAAGTTGTAGGGTCTTCAAGAGGAAGTTCTTAACTATCTCAGGCTCTCCATTCATCAGAAAAGCCAGAGCACTGGGTACAAAATCTCTAACAAAAACCTGAACAAATATCAAACATGAAAAAAAACATAAAGTCTCGAAAAATTTCAATATCATAACTAAACAGATGGTTAAGGATTTTCAGAATAATAAGCAACTATAAATATTATGAACTTTCCTGAATCTTTAACTTAAACAAAAATATTTTCAAAACAAGAAAGTTAATGATCATTTAACTTAATCTTTCCATTTTTCCTTACCAACCCTCTTTTTAACAATCAAAATTCCCTATTCATGTCAAAGTTTAATTGTTGCTATGAATGGCTTGAAGTTTCACCTAATCAAAGTTGTCCAACGAGGATCAAGGTATTTACTATTAAATGGTGTTATCCTACATTAAATTAAGTTTAGAGTTTCCTATGGCCTTATATTCAGGTTCAAGCTTTCTGTCTCTTACCAATTAATCTTTAGGTTGAATGCTTCACACATGATCGTAATCAATCATAGATGTCATGGTCATCGTTTATAAATTTATACACATGCAATAAGAATTTCAACATCACAAACTTGAAACTGAGAAGGTTTTTCACTATCTGATGAGAACTTTACCTGATCATAGTTCAAAACTTCCTCCGAAGCATGATCATATGCGGCAATGGTACCAACGGGTTGGCCTCTGAAATGCACCAATGATCTCCTGAGAGCTTCCCATGCTTCAGCCACCATGGGGTGAGGTTCAAAGGAGTTTCTAGCTGATGAAGCCGGAGTATCAAAACCTGATCTCCCACCAGGCGAGTGGGTGGTCTCATAATTGTCATAGCTTCCTCTTGTGAGACCGATAGAGAGCTCACTTAGTGACCTCTCATCAAATGATCTTTGCCTCTCTATGTTAAGCCTTGGCTTGTCAAGAAGGCGTGACAGATCATAATCATCCATTTCGGAGATTGAGCAGGTTGAGCTCACATTTCTAAGTCCCATCTCTTTAGTCCCATCCATTTCTTTGTCTCCAATGCACAAAAACGAAACTCTCAAGTTTCAAAAGAAGAGATCTGCAGTTATAAAGAAAGAAAAGAAAAATGGATCAGAATCCCAAATACTATGGATAACCGTACCCCTTAACAATAGCAAAGAAACATGCTTAATATAGAAACTAAAATGCTACGACTATATTTATAAAGCTGAAGGAAATAAAAGCCTTTGCCTAGTTATCTATTCAACAACCCATTTTCCATTTTTGTTACAGTGCAGAAAACAAATATAAATTTAATAAACAGGACGTTGTGCTCAGTACATTACCAAGATGGTTGAAGGATAAGAAGGAATTTTCCATCCAACCGACCAACCCCCATCATCATCATCATTATATATATGGATTTGCAGATGATGCACACAAGAATTAAAAAAATGCAAACTTCTATTTACAGATTCTAAAAAAAAAAACATATGTTTATTTGTTTTACAAATTTTTTTAATAAATTTACTGCATTAGACTTGACTATAGGAAAAATTACAACAGAAAAAATTAATCAAGATCAACAAAAACTTCAAGAAAACAGATCAAGATGCATACCGAAAAAACAACTAAGAGAATGAGAAAAACACAGAAACAAAAGAAATAATGCAAACCAGGCCACATAAAAAAGAAAACCCAGATCTGAAACTAATCCAAAACATCAAAACAAAACTCAAAACACACCCTCCTCTCCCCAAAACAAAAGGCTTTAAAAGTAAAAAAAGAAATAAAAAACAAACCTTTAAGAAAGCAAAAAAATGACGGAGAAACCGAAATTCTCCGGCAACCCCAACAGAAAAAACCGACCGGCTACTTCGCCGGAATATGGTTGGCTAAGGGAAATGGAAAAGAGAGAAATGAGAGGAGGAAGAAGAGAGGAAAGAGGATGCCAGTGCTGAAGGCATGATATTTATAGAGAGTGAGAAAGGAAGGGCTTTGTAATAACAAACCGTACTACCGTCTCTGTCTTGCTCCCTCCCTTGTAAGAACAAACCAAAAATGGATTAAGTTTACCGGTAATTGCCGGTAAAAGCACGTGTGAAATGCCCACGCGGCACTAAACGACACAGTTTGGACACGGCTGTGCTGTCTGATTCGGCTACTGCAACTGGACTTTTCACTGCCCTTATTTCTTTAATCCCTTTCTGTTGGAGGGTCTTCTTTTGTTCTTTTTTGACCAAAATTTATTTTTGTTAGGTGGGCATATCTCATATTTCATTTTAAAATTACTCGTACGTTAAAAAAATTTAAATTATTCACAAAAATTTGTATAAATTTATATTTTTTATTATATTTAATTAAATTTTTATATTTTTAGTATAAATAAAATAAATAATTATATAATATAACCTATTGATATATTATAATGATATAATTACAAAAAATATGATACAATCATATAATATTTTTCATCATATTAATAAGCATCGCAATAGCATTATATGAGTATAAAATAAGAAATTATTTTTTATTAATGATAATTAAATTGAAAATAAAAAAATAAAAAAAATTAATAATTTAATAAATTTTTTTAAAATGTTGTACCTATTTTAGTATATGAGGGGCTTAGGGCAAAGGTTGGTACCAGGAGGATGACACAGAAGCCATCAAGACATGAACCAACTTGGCTGTTGTTAGGTTTAAATGGCAGATCAGATTTGGTTCACATGCCTAACTTCATTTTGGTTGTCACCTTGTAGGTACTAGTACTTTACATCTCTCCCCTCTTCAAATATTTGTCCATTCTTCAATTTGGTCCTATGTTAATATTACAATAAGAGATTTTAAAATTTTTAGGGTTTAGATTTTCGTACCGAATAAGTTTTGCGTCCATTGAATTTTGTCTAACTTTATATTAACTTGTTGATTTATTTAAATTATTTATCGGTTTTTCTTAAATGTAATAGTTGTATCGTATGTATCGTGTAATAATTTCATCAGAATTTAATCTTTTTTTTACTCAAACATGATATCATAAAAAAAAAGAAAAGAAAAGGATTGTCTCTCCCACTTTTCACCATCAAAATTTTATTTTACCAATATTTTTGCTAATTGTTTTTTGACTATTTGATTTTTTTAAAAAAAATTGCTATAAAACAAAAGTGAAAAAACAAAAAGAAATATCATAATTAATTTAAAATAGATAAATAATTAAATTATAACATAATTTATCTATATTAGAAGTAAAATCGTATTTTTTTCCATCTAAAATAATTGAATATATTTTGTATATAGTTCTTCAAAAATTTAGGTGTTTTTATATTAAAATGCATTTTTTTCTTTTTTGCTTCCAAAAATAAAAATTAAATCGTAAAAATACAAACTACATGGAATATATAGACATGAGTTGTATTATTATATGTTTGAAAAGAATATCATGTAATAATTACTAAGCCAAATATTGGAGTGATTCGGTACATAAAAATTACTATTTATGTATGTGGAGTTCATAATCAATTGCTATGTTTTACACATATAATTGATAATAATGAAATTAATTCAATTACTAATAAAATGCTAAATAAGTTACCAAATAAAAAGAAAAAGGTACTACCAACTCACCCCTTTTATGATGATAAGTGAAAATTTCTTTTCAAAAAAAAAAGGAAAGATAATAAGCGAAATATCATTAATTGATAAGACAAAATTTTCAAGTAAATAACAAAATAAGAAAAGAATAAAAAGTGAAATTAAACAAATGAAATAAATTAATGTAAAACCCGATTTGATGACAAGATCTTTGATTCTAATTGATTTTAATAATTTTAGTTTAAATTTATTTTAATCGGGTAGTTAATAGATATGAATATTAAATGGATAATATTTAGAATATTAAGATAAAAGTTTGAGCGATAATTTGAGAATTTTAATCGGATATTTATAAGGTTGAAGTATTGTATAAAATAATAAGATTCGAATTAAGGTATGTTAAAAATAACGACTACTTTACCTATTGACATCCTTAAATATATTAATTATAGTAACGAGTGATGAATAAGGCATGAAGAATAAATCAAGTGAAAATACCATTATAAAATGGTAAGTACCAAGAGCATACCAAATATCAAAGTACTTTTTCTTCATTAAATATAGTCCAAAAACTTGAGAGAAAATATAGAAAAACAACTTTCACCTTTCCATCTAGAGGCATCTTCACTTTGTCTAACCAAATCCCTCACGTATTGGGTACTTCCAAAGAATTTCCCTTCGTTTTACCCAATTCTTCAATGTCCATGTGACTAGATAACTTGTGTAGCTTGGGTACTATTTTTGGATAAGTTGACCTTAACTCCATTAATCACTCAAGGGGAAAGTACCCAATGAAAACTTGTTGGAAAATTTTAGGTAGATTTTAACTGCTTAATGCTATGTTTGGTTCACGGATTAATCATTTCGAGAAAGACTAGAATAATTATCACTAACTTTCCTTGATAATAGTTATCTCATGGGTTAAAAAATAGGTTAAAATAGTTATTACTGACCCCCTCATCCATAAATCAAGGAATAGATTGGAATAATTATTACCGACCCTTGATCTCTGAGTATTTAGTGAATTTTGTGTAAGGAAAAATATCTTATTTAATTACATTAATCTTATATTCTTTATTTTTAATTATTTAATCTTTCCTTTTTTCACCTTTTTACAAAATCATATCTCTCTTTTACAATATATGCAATTAATATCATATCTCTTTTTTGTTTTTTTAATTATAATTGATTTTCACCATGTTAGTGATTAAAACATAAGTAATGAGTGATAGAAGTATAAATAAAGTGAATTACACTCGAGCATTTAACTCATTAGTTGGTATATAATCATCTTGCCTAAAGAATATGGTTTGAATTTTCCTTCCCTAAATTAAAAAATATATATAAAAGAAGTGAAGATACCAATATGAAATGGTATACCTAAGAATATACCAAATATCAAAGATTGTTTTAATAATAAAAATCAAAGTACTTAATTTTTCTTAATTAGATAAGATCAAAACTTAGAGAGAGAATATAGAATAACAATTCCCACCTTCCCATCTCAAGGCATCTTCACTTTGTCTAAACCATATGCCTCACGTATTGGGTACTTTCAAAGCATTTCACTTCGTTTTTACCAATTCTTTAATGTCAATGTGACTAGATAACTTGTATAGCCATGTACTACTTTTGGATAAGGTGACTTTTAACTCCATTCATCACTCCATGGGAGGATTTCAATGAAAATATGTTGAAATCCTTAACAAGATTTTAGCTAATTACGATATGTTCGGTTGGAGGAATGACAATTCCATCCCCTCTGATTCTTTAATACCCTTTTTTTTACCTTATTTGGTTCATCGAATGACCAATTAAGAGAAGTTAAAATAGTTATTACCGACCTCTTGTTAAGTAAGGAAAATATATTATTTAATTACGTTAATTTTATATTCTTTACTTTTAATTTTTTTAAAACAAAAATTTACCAAGGAAAAAAAATTTACAAAAATCATATCTTTCTGTTACAATATATTCAATAAAAAATCTACTTAGCATTTAATTTTCATTAGTATAACAAACAATTTTTATATCATAAATTCAGTACTGCAATTTTGAGAACTAAAAATTCAATATTTAAATTTTTAGTTTTGAATTTTTTTTAATTTATCAAACAACACCTACGAGCTAAATTTTTAATTCTGGAAAAATTTTAAGTTTTGAATTTATGATGTAAAAATTATTTGGTATACTATTGAAAATTAAGTGTTGAGTAGATTATCTATTGAATATTTTGTAAAAAAAATATATGATTTTGTAAATATTTTGCTTTGTTAAAAGTGAATAAAAAAGGAAAGAATAAATAGTTAAAAGGAAATAAGATAAGATTAATATAATTAAATAACAATTATTTCCTCAAAATAAAGTTGACTTAATATATTCACTTATTTAGTAGTTTTTAGTTACCTAAAATTTTCAACACTTCTTCATTAAGGGTGTTTTAAAATTGAATATTTGAATTATTAAATGCATTAAAAAGTTTAAATTATTAAAAATAAAAATTTTTAATGATTTGAAAATTTTTTAATGGTTTGTCAAACATTGACATAAGTTTAATTAAAAAAATGGGGATCGAAATTAGAAAACTTAATTACAATTATGAAGTACCTCACGTAGAGATTGTAATTTTTCTAACAAAAGAAAAAATAGTTATCTCGATTTGAGTCTTTTTTTGCAATAATTATAACAAACACATTCGTGCATGCATACACACACATGCATAATAATAACACGTATCTAATATTAAAATTAAGATACGTGAAATCTTTAAACGGAGGAAAGAGTTTGATGTAAACTTTGGTGATTGAAAAGTTTGAAATTGAAATTTATAAAAGAAATCACAATACTTAAAGGCAAAAAAAAATATTTTTATCAATAGTTATATGATATTTTTCACTTTTCACGTTAACGAGTATAAAATGAGAAATGATATTTTAATTATAGTAATAATTAGTTATGAAAACTTATATAATCTTAAAAAAAATATTAAGACATAACCGTTAAAACGAAATAGAAAAATAAAAATTTATTTAATTTTTTTTTTAAATTATTCAAAAAAAATGTAGTGCAATGCACGAAACACAAGTTGGGCAAGGAATCTCAAGGTTGTACTCTAGCTAGCTGGTTGATCGTCAGCATTAATTGGTCCAAATTCTGATTGGTTGCTGTTGGCTGTATCCTTGTCGACAACCAACACAACCCAGCACATTTTTTTTTTCCAATTTCTTGGTAAATCCTTAGCATCTACTCAGCAATTGGTCATTCCTTTGCATCTTCATAAATCAAGATACAACACGTAATTAAAAAATTAAATGCGTAATTCTATGTAGTTTTTCACTAATATAATATGAAAATCATTATCAAGTAGTAAAT